AAAGGTGGCCAAGCATTAGAGAGTGCTCACAAGGTTATTAAATATTCCAGTCCTGCTTTAACTCTCTTTTGATATATTTTTTCCTTTTTCATTACTGCTTTGAAAATTCTGATTCATTTTGGCTTAATAAAATTGTGCCAAAGATGGGAGGACATGATTCATCATACAAATTTTGGCCAAATTTTGTAACGGCAAAGCCCGCCCACCGCTAGCGGATATTGTTCTCTTTAGGCTTTCATTTTGGGCTTCCCTCGAGGCTTTTAAAATGCGTCTGGTAGGGAGAGGTTTCTATACCTTATAAAGAATGTTTCGTTCTATTCCCCAATTGACATGGGAACTCACAATTCATTTCCCTTCGGGGCCCAGTGTCCTTCCTCGCACTCATTCCCTTCTCTATCGAAGAAGGACCCCCCCAATCCACCCTTCTTTGAGGCCCAACGTCCTTGTTAGCACATTGTCTTGTGTCCACCCGCCTTTGGGGTTCAACCTCCTTGCTGACACATAGTTCGGTGTCTGACTTCGATACCATTTATAATGACCCAAGCCCACTACTAACAAATATTGTTCTTTTTTGGGTTTTCCCTTTCGGGCTTCCTCTCAAAGTTTTTAAAATGCGTCGGTTACAAAAAGGTTTCTACACCCTCATAAAAAATGTTTCGTTCTCCTCCTCAACCGACATGGGATCTCACAAGTTATGAATAATGAATAGGTATGTCCTCTTCCTAGTTTCCATCTTTTCCCAGTAACACAATATAGGCTTAACAGAATGATTTAGTTAGCTTATTTACGTTCTACAAACTCATGAACGTTGATAGTCTTGAGGCCATTTTTCTTCTATGTTCTCTCGAGTATTTTAATATAATGCTGTGAATAATAATAAATTGTAGGTGAATTGCATTGTGTTCGACAAAACTGGAACTCTTACAGTCGGGAAGCCAGTTGTGGTGAACACAAAGCTACTAAAAAATATGGTTCTGAAAGAATTCTATGAACTAGTTGCCGCAACTGAGGTCGACTTGGTTACTTAAAATCTTCCTTCTACCAACGGAAACTATGTCAGAGATTGCATAACTCCACAACTTCTTTATTCTGCATTTGAATCAGGTAAACAGCGAGCATCCATTGGCCAAAGCCATTGTTGAATATGCTAAAAAGTTCAAAGAAGAGGACGATAACCAAACATGGCCTGAAGCACTAGATTTTATTTCCATTACTGGACATGGAGTAAAGGCCATCGTTCAAAACAAAGAAGTAGTTGCAGGCAACAAGAGTCTTATGTTAGATCAGAACATTTTCATACCCGTTGAAGCTGAAGAAATATTAAAAGAAATCGAAGAAATGGCTCAAACTGGAATTTTGGTATCCATTGATCGGAAATTGACCGGGGTTCTTGCCATATCCGATGCACTGAAACCAAGTGCTCGCGATGTCATTTCCATACTCGAAGCCATGAAAGTTAAATCCATCATGGTGACAGGTGATAATTGGGGGACAGCGAAGTCCATAGCCAATGAGGTTGGGATTGATGACATAATTGCATTAGCTAAACCCGACATGAAAGCTGAGGAAGTGAAGAGACTACAGGTACCTACGCTTTCTCCAACAGAAACTTAGTATAAATTATAACCACTTTATATTTGGGTACAACCAGATTCCCTTTTTGCCTTGAAAGTTGAAACTTAGTTGATAGAAGTATGAATTTGTTTATGTAACCGTCCAAGTCCACCGTTAACAAATATTGTCCGCTTTGGCCCGTTACGTATAGTCATTAGCCTCACAGTTTTAAAATGCTTCTATTAGGGACAGGTTTCCACACCCTTATAAGAAATGTTTCTTTCCTCTCTCCAACCGATGTGGGACCTCACAATCCACCCCCCTTAGGAGCTGATCCTCGCTGGCACACCACTCAGTGCCTGACTCTGATACCATTTGTAACCGTCCAAGCCCACCGCTAACAAATATTTTTCGCTTTGGCCCGTTATGTATCACCGTCAATCTCACGATTAAAAGACGTCTATTAGGGAGAGGATTCTACGCCTTTATAAGTAATGTTTCGTTCCTTTCTTCAACCGATGTGAGATCTCATAGTTTAACTAGGTAGATATTTGTTTGGAATATAAGAAATAAGATGCCTATAATATTGAAACTTTGTTGATAGAACGATAAGGCTTGTGGCTTGGTATAATTGAATCAATGCTTGTTTGGAATATAAGATGCTTACATGTAGTAAATAATATTGGTCAAGATTTTGCCACCCACACATCAATTAGAGAGGAGAGAGAGGGGAATGATGCCAATGAGTATGCTAGGTTCTGGTCGTGGAGGGGTGAATTGTAAGATCCCACATTGATTGAGAAGGAGAACGAAACATTCTTTATAAGGGTTTGGAAACTTCTCCTTAGTAGAAGCATTTTAAAAACCTTGAGGAGAGTTCGAAAGAGAAAGTTGAAAGAAGACAATATGTGCTAACGGTGGACTTGGCTGTTACAATGCAAATTGTATGGCTGATTATAGATGATTCTCCCCCACATTTGAGTTTCAATTATAAACTAGCACCAAAGTTTTGCACAAATTTAATAGTATTAATGCTGATTTTCTCCCTTTCTAACACCTTTACTAAGCATGGTTTTGAATTTTGACATCTAGTCTTTGGGTCGTACGGTGGCAATGGTAGGAGACGGGATCAACGACTCGCCAGCGCTTGTGGCTGCAGATGTTGGAATGGCAATTGGTGCAGGCACAGACATTGCAATTGAGGCAGCTGACATAGTCTTGATGAAAAGCAACTTGGAGGATGTCATAACCGCCATCGACCTTTCAAGAAAAACGTTCTCCAGGATCCGTCTGAACTACATTTGGGCACTTGGTTACAATCTCCTCAGCATCCCTATCGCAGCCGGAGTCCTTTTCCCGTCGACTCAGTTTCGGCTACCACCATGGATTGCAGGAGCAGCAATGGCAGCCTCTTCTGTTAGTGTTGTTTGTAGTTCTCTCCTGCTCAAGTATTACAAAAGGCCCAAGAAGCTTGATACCCTTGAGATACAAGGCATTAGAGTTGTGTGATTGAGGTTAAAGGTGAGTAAATCTTCTTGTTTTCTCCCCTTTTCCATGGCTTGCATGAATTGGTGCATGAATTTGTGGTATTCGTATTAGTTTGTGAGATATAATGGATGTTGCTTTGTAGATACCATCGTGAATAGTATGATCAATTGCAAAATAATTGTAGCATTGTAGAATTGTCAATGCCATTCAATGGTTAATTTTGGGTTTTCCTAGGTCTTGCTTCATCTCTCCCGTTCATGATTCTTGGCTGTTGATTTTGATTTCCGAGATATAGCATAGTCTCTGAATTTTTCAATTTTATCTCCGAAGAATTGTTCTATTTAAGATGTCTCAGAATAAGATGCTTGAGAATAAGATATCACATGTTGAATTTTTAATATTCCTATTGAATTTTTCAGTTTTATTTCTTTGAGTATGTCTAGGAATAAGATACTTAAAATACGAGGTCAAAAATAACTATAAATAATATAAAAAAATAATTATAAATAATATTTATGTTGAATTTATTAATTTTATCTCTTTTATATCTGAAAATAGGATACTTTTCAGAATATGACGTCAAACATAGCTATAAATAATATTTATGTTTGAGAGTATATTTAATTCACTAAAATAATAAATAAATATAATAAAAGTTTAATTTTAATTGAATAATTGATTATGATTTTAGTAAATAAGTTCGTTAATTGATACATCGATAAAAATGAATTAAATAAATATATTGTTATTTAATTAATCATAATTGATTATAAATTTAATTTTGATTCTAAATAACTCAGTTTTAAAATTATGATATATAAATAACGAATGAACTCATCCAAATCAGTCCCATTAAATAATTAATTGGTTAAATAGTAATAAGTAAATAGTCATAATGGTTGAAAATAATTTTTTAAACGTAATTTAACTCATCCTAATAAAGTAATTAAATATATTTAAGATACTTGTAGCTAATTAATTAATCATTTTAGTTCATAATTAATTCCACTCATTAAATAAGCTTTTATGGTATAAATGAATTAAATATACAATTATATAAATTATTGGTTTATTTATTCTAATTAATTAAGTATATTATAAAAATACATTTAATATGTACTAAGACTTCCTCTTACTCAGCCATCGAAACAGAAGCGGGTTCCTCAGCTATCGAAAGAGAAAGTATATTATCGAAAGTAAAGTATGAGCGTTTATATTTAAAAGTGGACGGTATTATACAATTGTTGAACTATGTTGTCTCTGTTAAGTGGTAAAGAAGTCGCGAATCTAGAATGTGTAATTATAGTATGATGTTTTTGACGTATGCATTACAAGATAGCTTCCTTTTTTAACTTCCTCGCCCCAATTTTTTCTAGCGTCAGGTGCACTCTCTCTTATTGGTTGAGCGGCCTCAACCTTCTGTTTTAATAAGATGTAAATATAGAAGTGGAACAGTAATAATAGAGATATATACAGGTTGTGTTAGGTTGGGTTAGTGACCCGAACAACCTAAATAGAGTTCACAACTTAACCCTCTATTTTCGAGCTAGGTCGGGTTGAGTTGTCGGTTTTTTTTTTAGTACTAAAAAATACTATTTATTTACAATATATGTTACATTAATTACTAAAATCTCGTAAAAATCAAATATCAAACATACACGACTCACAACTAATTACTAGTGTCGGTTATAAAAGTCAAATATTTTTAATTTTCATATTAATCTTAAGAGTAGGGTAGGGTCGTAACGCTATTTTTGAATTGATCAGGTTGACCGAACCAAAAAATGTCAACCTACTAATCGACTCGAATAATTAAAATATAATGTAACATGAATTGGGTTGTATAGTTTGAAGGGTCAGGTTATAAGATCATACGATGGTAAATAATAAACAAGAAAATAAAAAGGGAAATAAATAGGTTGGCGGGAATGTCCGAGGAAAAGAAAATGCGCACAGAATTCAAAAGCGTACGGAGGCCCAGGCCCAAACACTCACGAACTCCCTCCGCTTGGGCGAAGCGCGGCTGCTTGGCGCGGACGCCATCGGAGCTCTCGAAGACGCCCACATGACAAACCACGGAAGATGAAATTTCAAAGAAATTCAAATCCATAGACTGCCACAGTCTATTCGCAAGTTCAGCCAATTCCCCTAGCGATTATGGCCGCTCCATCCTCCGTTTCCATGACCCTTATTCTTTTTGTTTACTTCTCGTTTCTCCTTCTCGGCCATGCCGCTCATGACTCCGCCTTCAAGAGTATCTCTCTTACCCCTCTTAGTTTCAATGTTCGTTTTATTCTTTTTCAACTTCCTTACGAGATTTTGATGTTTATGGCTGGTTTTCTAGTTGTGGGGGAGGGTATTTCGCTTGTGCTTGTTGGTAATGCTTGATTTTGCGATTGGTTTGCTTTTTTATCCTTCTGGGGGCTTTCTCTTTGAGTTGGGATTTTGAATTGATGCCGGATTTGGGTTTGGTGTTTTTAGTGATTTGAATGTGGATTAGGGTTTGTATTTGCAGTTCGGTTCCTTAATTTTTTTTTTTTTCTTGTTTTGATTGAGTCGATTCGATTGTTGGCAGTTCTTTTAGAGACTAAAGATCGAGGGAAAACAAAGAATTAGTTGTTAGGGTCTATAAGTATGTCAATCGTACGTTATTTTCCTCAATGTGCCGTGGTTTAATCATCAAGACGTCTCTTTCTATGGCAATTTTTCAAAGTGCAGCGAGTGTATTATGTAATTTTACTTAAAAATGACGTGTATGCGAAGTGGGGATTGTCGATATAATGACAATATTTCCTCTAATTGTTATTTTGTGCAAATCGTATCTATTACGTGTTTGCTGATTTAAGGTTCTGATTTGGTATGAAATGGTTTGTGTAGTACAGTTTGATTAATGAAAATCCTGTGCGATAAATATATTGGGTTTATGGCCTTTTGTTGCACTTCTTTAGTTAATGTCAATGGATGTTATCTCAACGTTTCACTGGATAGGTATTGACCTCGGGCACCCAGCTGAAGATGTCTTTCCATCTTCACTTTCTGGAGCCAGTGATATGCAATGTGATCGTGTTTGGATTTCTGGTCTGTCAAGATTAAAACTTGGAAGTTTTGCCAGTGCTTTTCGAGTCACTGCAGTTCCATCTGTTGTTATTCCTGAAAGACAACATGCAAAAATTCAGGTTTGTTTTCACTGGTAAGTGGAGCATAGTCTGATATTCATTACTCACTAGCTTCTTCTAAACCAAACAATACATGAGTTTGGATGCTTCTTACAGTTTTCATTGTCCATGAGCGAGTCTCACGGGATATGTTTCTAAGTCTTTTTGAAACATTGAGTATTAATGCAACTACTAGTGAAAAAATGGAATCTTTTTCTTGTATGCAAACGCTTCTCCAAGACAACACTTCTAATACTTTTCTTCCTAAACCATGCAGGAACAATTCACTTGGATTGTGTCAGTGTGGAGATGATGAGTGGAAAACTTTTCAAAAGGGATTATGGAGCTCTACCATGTCTCCGTATGAAATCAGATATGTTGACGTTAAAGTTCTTAATGTCTCACCTCTAAGTGGTCCTGTCACAATTGCGATTGAAGAAGGTGTTTGTCGCATTGGCTTTTGATCCTCCTCAGTCTTAAGTTAGTCTAGTTTTATGTTAATTTGTTTTCCAACTTCTTGCAGAGTTTCAACAGTGGCGTCTTCTGTGTCTAGCATTGGGATTTATGTTGCTTCTTCTTGCTCCTGTTATCAGCAGCTGGGTTCCTTTTTACTACAGTAGTTCGATGGCCATTGGAATCTTCCTTGTTGTCTTGATTATTCTTTTTCAGGTACTAAAGATTAACAATCATTTTTAAACTCCTAGTATATGCAGGTAGTTTGTTTTAGTGTTTTGTTGTATATTAATTTTTTTTTATGGGAATTTTAGGTAGGGGTAGTGCAAAAAGTAATTGTTTGGCTTTAGAGAAAGATACATTTTTAGTCCCTGAGGTTTGGGTTTGGTTGTATTTGAGTCCATGAGTTTTCAAACTCAACAAATATACCTCTGAGTAAGGTTTGGTTGTATGTGCATATGTGTGCTTGTTTTCTAAATGAATTCTTGATTCTGCCTCTGCAGTTAGTTTCCTCTTTATGTGAATTTACATATTGAATGCACTCGTACTTGATTAACCACTCAAATTTAGTTTATTCATTTCTATATACTCCTTACCTTATGTAATATAATTACGAAGTTTAACATTGGTTGAGGAATTTTAAGACATGGTTGAGATTTATTTTTCAAAGATAACTGCACACAAGTAGTAAATACATTAGGAAGAGAGTGGACAATTTCACCCTACAAGATTTGGATAATGCAAAGTTCACAAGCAAGTATTCATAGATTATAATGATGCAAAGTCTGGGGTCATTTCATATGTTTGTCAATTTGATGGTTGATGAACCCTTCATGCTTGTATCTTATTTAGAAGCTTATATTACTTTCTTCCACTCACGGGTTTGTTAATTTTGTAGGGAATGAAGTTGTTGCCAACTGGAAGGAAGAATGTCTTTTATCTAGCTGTATATGGATCGGTGGTGAGTATGGCATTAAAATTTTGTCCCCTTATTTCAATTAAAGCATTCCTTGACAGTTGTCTCATCGTCTTTTCCAGCTTGGAGCAGGATCCTATCTTGCTCACCACTTTGCAATGTTTGTAAATTCGATTCTTCTCAGTTTCGGACTGAAAGAAGAGATGCATAATCCAGTAAGTCTAAGCTCCTCTTGCTCTTTTTATTACATTTCAAGTGAGATTCTTAACTTTACCTTGTAGAGAGAATGCTTAGAATATATTGGAGTTCCGTTCATCATATCTATATGGTTCTTGTTTTCTTTTCTTTTAAGCTATCATACTTATTATTATTTTTCTATTACGATCTTGTAGTGTTTGAAACCTTGAATCTATTATATAGCAAAAAAGGTATGTGGCACTTGTCTTGGTTCTCATTTTTAGAGGGATCATCTATTCATTTCTATAGAGGGAAAAGAATTGACAGACATTATATCTATCCAATCATATGCATGAGCTAGAAAAAATTGATCTGGGGTTAATATGAATGAACTCCCTTTTGGTCAAAGCCTTATTTCATTGAGATAAAATTTCCTGGATCTTGTATGTATGGCCTCACTGGATGCAGTAAGGAAGCTTCTTGGGGAAGACTTCTATTCATTCTTATTGGAAGGAGCCTTTGCATCTAGGGATAGATGAATTTCCTTTCCAAGGTTATTTTGTATGATTTTGATGCTTCTGTTTCTCCTTTGGGGAATTTCCCCCGTCAAGAGTAGGATGTTAGATATAAGATTGGTCGTGAATGCTGTCTCCAATGACATGGATGTCCTGGCCGTTGCAAGGAGGTTGGCCCCTGGCATGCCCTCAGCATTATTTTAGAAGTTGAGGGTGATATCATTTATTTCTAGTTTTTCCTCAGTTTTACTCTCCTTGTGTTTGAATGTGATTCAAAGGGCAATTTCTCAAGCATATTGTTTCATTTTGTTCAGTTTTTCAGATCCTTGGTTGGGTTGCTTTATTTATCCTTTGTCCTTTAGTGTTCTTTTGTGTAGTATGTATCCTTTAAGCATTAGTCTCTTCTCTTTTTATCACTAAAATGCTTTGTTTCTGGTTTAAAAAAAATGAAAAGAAAAAAGGAATGAGATGCTGCAACACACAAAAGAATGAAAGCGTTTCATTAAATCCATGATCAGCGACCATGATTCCAATCACAGTTTTCTTTTCTTTCTATAGATGTATGCGCTAATTCTTGATCCTTCTTTCTCATATTCTTAAGGTTGCCATCTTTTTACTTCTGGGGATTGTTCTTTCTGGAGCTGCATTGGGGTACTGGATCGTCAGGAAGTTTGTGATCTCAGAGGATGGAGATGTTGATGGTGGTGTGGCCCAGTTTGTAAAATGGGCAATGCGGATTATTGGAGCCACATCTATCTTTCAGGTGTGTCATGCTTATTTTTCCCCCTTTTTTGATAAGATGCTTTTGTGTCTTTGGATATGTGCCATTTTAAAACTTTGAATTATGTAGTTTTCTTTCATTAAATTATTGTGAAGTTGAGTTTTGGTGTACACTTTCCAAATATTTTGTTATGATTGTAGTTCTTTTCATCGGTTCCAGTTGGAGTAACTTCTACAATGCTTGAGTCACTTATCTGCAGTTTAAGTAATTAACTGTTATGTATCTTGAAACTTGAAAATAAAATAGTCAAGTGCTTCTGTGGTTCATTTATTTTACAGAGTTCTCCTGATGCTCCTTTAGCACTTGGCGCCTTTGTTTGTTGTTGGGCGGCCTGCTATCTTATCTCATCTCTGAAGCAGAGTTATACAATGTAAGTCATTTCCTGAAGTGCTGTAGTTTGGTGTGAGTTCAATATAACTTGCCTTTCTACTTCCTTAACATATTTGAAGCAAATATTTTTCAATTAAAGAAGTTTTATTTTTCTGCAACAATCTTAGTAAGTTTTGAACTCTGCTGCATCTATAACAATTAAAAGCTATCAGTGGCGTTATACGTAAGTCATTTTCTGAAGTGACGTGATTCGGTGCGAGTTCTATATTACTTGTCTTTTGTACTTCCTTGACATGTTTAAAGCAAATATTTTTCAATTAAAGAAGTATTCTTTTTCACCAACAATATTAGTATTTTTCTAGTCTGCTGCATCTATGACGATTATACGCTTTCACTTGTCATGCAAAACATTTAAATGTTGGATTTCATCCTAAATGTCATGCAAAACAAGCATGTCTGATGGATCTTGGGAACATTTCATCTCCTTTTGTGCCTTTTATCTTTTCATTAACAGTGGCTTCTTATCACTTCCCTAAAGAACAGGTTAAGTGTGTTCTGCTTTAGTCTAGTAGCTATTGGCAAAGGCTTCGTTAACTCATCTATTTGTACCAATGGTACTGTTTTCCTTATCTATTCATACTCTTGTATTAGTTGCCCTTGTCTGGTTCCCTTCTACCCAGCCTCTAGGTTGTTCTTTCTTTTGTGTGTGTTATGAAATATGGTGTCTGATATTATAAAAATCTACTGCTCAGGCCATCAGACCGCCTAAATTTCTTTCATGTTTGGTAGGAATCGATCATATTCTGAATCTGGCGGCCCTTGGCAAAGGCAGAATAATCAAATTATTGGAAACCGGACTCGTCCTGAATTCCTCAGCCGATCAAGCCCTCAAGACAGGAGATGGAGAGTTTCTGATAGCCACAGACCAGGATGGTCGAATTCACCTGTTCATGGTGCTGTTTGCTTTCATCGCCTCGTCCGTTTTTTTGTACATACGAGTCTTTCATACTCCCAATTGAGGTTCTGCCTCTTACCATTTTCATTGTTTGACGTGTTAATTGCAGCAGGTTTAATTTCACCATCCTCTGGAATGCAAAATCAGGACTACTACTCATCGTTCCACAAGACCCGCAATCGAAAGAAGTTCACGAAGAAAGCGTGGGACGATTTCACTAGAGATTCAACCCGACACGCGTTGGCAGAGTGGGCATCGTCCCCTGAATTCACGGATTGGATCATGGAGCACGCGGATAGAATTCAACTGCTCCCAAGTGAGAGTTCAGATGAAACTGTTGACAGTGAATCTCATTCAACCAACGAGAATGTTGTTGGTAGTGGCAGTAGGTTCAGCTTTCTAAACTGGTATGACTAGGTATCTGTATCTGTATCTGCTAACATAGATAAAGGATAGGATCTAGATTAGGTTCTTTCGAAATTTGATTCGTTGGTTGAACTGGGCGAATTTTCCGAACCCAAGTCTAACAGCTAGAGGTGTCTCATAGATGAGAAGTCGACTTAATCCGACGCTCCATCAGTATGTGACTTGTAGCGTGTCTTGTCGAACAATTTATTTGTCTCGAGTTCTTTGAATTGGACATGACATGCAATTGAGTCGATCCAAGATGCAACCACAACTGAACGTGTTATATGATTCGGGATGATCCATGATTCAGCGCAGTCTACAACTCTGGCTCGACGTGGGAAGGAGGCTCATTCGACACCTCAACATAACTGATGATATTACATTTTTTAGGCATGGAGGTTGAAGTTACATACATTCCAAGTTGAGTTTCGTTACTGTCTGAATATATGGCGACGGATGATGTGTCTCCTCTGATGCCTTTAGGATAGCTGTCATTTTCAAGATATTCACATTGTTATCTTTGTTCCCTTTTAATATCTATTGTTTATAATCTCAAGCAGATTGTTTTGTTGAGACATTTGAAATTTTTATGGGAATGTAAATTTATGAAACTTGGAATATATATAGTTGAAAAGAAAGACATAAACTTCAAAATGTTCTCGTAAATTACGGGTAATACTATATATATATTTAAGCATTGATTTCGAAATCAAAAGTTTCATGGGCTCGAAGAATTAGAATAATCTAGACTATCCAACTCAAACCATAAATGTTAGGTCTAAGAGGGTTTATATGCACTCGAAAACTTGAACTACTCAATTTGGGTTAGAATTTTTTCGATTAATTAAAAAAAAAAAACAAAAAATTTGAGGGCAGATTGACATATTTGATATTAATGTAACCTGTGCAGGATCAACAAGACAACTCAACTTTAAAGTATTCATATGTTATTACATGTTTCAAAAATATTCATGAACTTTTCAAAGTAATATTAAAAGTTTGGAGATAATCAATGAAGCGTGGATAGACGGGTTTCAATCATATATTGATGAAAATAAATTAATTTTTTTTTAGGAACGTAAATAATGTTAATCCTACTCTTAAAACTCATAACCATTTTTTAAACATAGTACTAAAGAATAATAATGAAACTTTTTAAAATTTAAATGTATTTTTGAAACGGGTATGGGTAAAAACCTTTTATAAAAATTTAGAATTTTTTTTTATTAATTTCTGAAAAAAATTAAAATGATATATTTATATAGTAAGGGATTGATTGAAATTGCTTTTCCGTTCCCAGAAAGAGAGAGATAGTGAAGATTGAAAGCGAAGCGATCAGTCATTTTCGAAATCAAAATCCTTCTCTCCTCTCCCATTTCAGTTTGTTCTTCAAAATCTCCGGCGGAAGCTTAACAACTCCATTCCCTTTGCCCCATGCAGCCTTCAGATTTTCTCCTTTTCAGGTTCGTCCTCTGATTCCCCACCTAGGGTTTTAATTCCACCTTCAATCCCATGAGCATCTCTTTTGCGCTGCCATAACAAGATGCACTCGCCCAACAAGAGCCCTTTAGCTTCTCCGACCAGCTCCCGCTCTGTTACTGAGACTGTTAATGGCTCCCATAACTTTGTGATCAAGGGTTATTCTCTCGCCAAGGGGATCGGCGTGGGAAAGCATATTGCCAGCGAGAATTTTACCGTCGGAGGTTATCAGTGGGCCATATACTTCTATCCTGACGGCAAGAATCCTGAGGATAATTCGGCTTATGTGTCAGTGTTTATTGCCTTGGCGAGCGAGGGCACTGATGTGCGTGCCTTGTTTGAACTGACTTTGGTGGACCAGAGTGGTGATGGTAAGCACAAGGTGCATAGTCATTTCGATCGCTCCCTCGAGAGTGGGCCTTATACGCTCAAGTACAGAGGTAGCATGTGGTAAGAGTTCTCTTTGTGAATGCTTGAATTGTTTTCCTTTTTGTTTCCTGCGAATGAATTTAGAACCATGGCTGGCGGTTAGTCTCACGATGCTAGTGCAGTTTTCATTCTTTTTTATATCTTTAGGGGATGATTAACAAGTAAGAAATGGATGTTTTAGATTTTCAGATTGGGAGTATATGGGTAATGATTTTCCCCCTCTTTTATCTCAATATTGATAGCTAAGTGAAGCAATTAGGTTTTTCAACAATTATGATTATTATGTCACATACAGATGTTGTCAAATCACAATGATGAACTGGATAATTGATGGACCCATGGGATGTGCCTTGTTGCATACCCTGCAGTCTATGTGGTAAAGCACCTATCAAATCAACAAAACTATGTTTTTCTTACAAGAAAGAAAGAATTCATTTAACTGATGAAAAGAAACAAATGCTCAAAGATACAATCTCAGTGAGAAAAATAACAAGCAAACTAAGGAGGAGTTATAAAGAGTTACCAATTCATACAAATGTCTAATAAAGAAAAGTAAAAAAAAAATGGTATAGGAAGAGAACACCATTGTGATCCTTTTCATCTAGCTGCCACAAGCCGATTAAATCAATAATTTTACTTGTTTTAAAAACTCATTCGATTGCATTCCATCTACGTTTCATAATTAATGGCTTTAACTGCATTTACTCATAACAAATTATCTCTTGGAGGTAAGGATGATCCAAGAACGGGAAGAATATTGCTCTTAGAGCTATTTGAGAATACGTATCCAAAATTAAATATCCTTATCTATTGCTTTGGATGAAGGTTGGGATAAACCCTGTGCTGTCTTGTCAGTCTTAACTTTAATTCAGGGCTTGCTCAAGTTGCTGTTACTCAAGTTCTTTTTGTGATTTCTTCAATACCTCCACATCAATTATGAATGAATTGAAGTATTTCTTTTGACCAAAGGTTGCTATCATTTAGTCATTATCATGATTGGCTAGATTAGTGTGGTGGAGCTGATTCATTCTAAAGGTTCTTTGGAAGTGGTTTGGTAGGTAGTATTAGTTGCAGCAATCGATCATTTCGGGAGGGTTGGTGGCTCTTTGGTGAAGGGTGGGGCTTGGTCGATCTTTGTATGCTTCACAGGGGTATTCAGAGATGAGGGAGACAAAAGTAAACCAGCCAATATTGCCCCCTCCTGACAGGATAAGAAGTCTACTTCTTCCTCTTTTATTGCCTAGTTGTGATGGCCTCATGCCACAAAACGTTAGGTTTCTGTGCCTCAATTATTTAGCTAACAAAGCCACATTCCGATGTCTCATGTTCTAATCCCCAAACCCTGAACTCCAATGGCCATGAGACCATTGCCTATTTAACTTATTGAGACCCTCTCCCCCATCACCTTTCCCAAAAGAAATCCCATCAGGAAGACTGATTCTTATGTCGTAGGTTGTGAGTAGGGGTATTATTGCCTTTTTACTTCACCTGATCGATGTGTGGCTTCATTATTCAAAGTTACATGTAGGACCGAAAGCCCAACAATTTTAGGGTTTCATCTAGAGCTAGTCAAATGCCTATAAAAGACTTCTTATTCTTTGTATTTTTTAAAACTTAATTTTAATAAAAAAAATCATTTTGCTGTGAGCATCACATCCCCATTTCAAACTCTTGCTTTAAGAATTACATACTCAGAACATTCAAGTTTGGTTGATCCATCGACTTGTGGTGTGCTCTAATCCTAGGCAAGGAACTAGTTTTTCAATCTTGGATAGTTGGTTCTCATGATAATTCACAACTATTCTTCCCCCTGGGGTTAAAACCAAAATGATTTGTAGTTTTTGGTGGTAAGTTAACAGTCCTAGTCACTCTTGGGTGTTTGCTTCTATTCATCAATGGATTCACATCAGTTTTTCCAAAGATCTTCCTCGTGCATTTTAAGGCCCTAATGATGTGTTCTTTTCAAGTAATTGTTGCATCAAGGACAAGGCTATAGATTTTGACTCATTTTTAGATCATTCAACTTACATTGCTCTATCTTGGTGTAAATTCTCCCCTTATTTTAGCGATTATAGTCTTACATCTCTTATAGCCCAATGGAAATGTTTTTTGTAATTCCTTTCGCATGGTTTGCCTTGTTTTTTTAATTTCATCTCATCAATGCGAAATCCTTGTTTCTTTGAAAGTAAACATTTGAGCATTTTGACCACATCCTTCGGAAATATTCTTTCTCCCAAAAAATTGGAAGCTGGCACTTGGGGTTGCCTTGGCTCTTCAGTTCACAGGCTACAATGGATGAGGCCCTTGTCCCTCGTTGTGATTGAGGTAGATTTTTTTGGTGTCTCAGATTCTTATGAATGTGGTGTATTTGGTCAAAGAGAGGAAATTTTTTACAGGTGTAGAGGGGTCTTGGGATGTGGAGTTTGGCTTATTTCAATGCCTCTTTGTGGGCGTTTCTGACTTGTTATTTTTGTAATATTTCTTTTTCTAGTTAACAACTTGAGTTCCCTACTACTAGCTTGTTGTCGTCTTATTCATTTGGTGGCTTGTTTATTTGTCTAGCTTAGTTTTTGTCGGTGTTCTTTCAAACTCATTATGAAAATGGGCTTCCTATTAGCTACTTTAAAGAATTGGAAGCATTTGATATATATGTGTGCAGGTTAGATATTGGTGGTTTGTTGGAAGAAAGTAATTCTGTGGTTTCTCCATATTGGATTCCATCAGAATTGATTAACCACCCTTTTATCTGGTTTTTTTTTTTTTTTTCTAAAGTTGTGGACCAAGTTTTCCCCCCTTCCTATTTAAAGAGTATTGGCTTTTCTAAAGGATTTTTATTATTTGTTGACTGGGGTATAAGGGCGTTGGGATGGGTCTGTTTTTGGTCATAATCAATACCAGAATGACCTATTATTTAAAAAAAAAAAAACTGGAAAAAAGATGTTGAAATTAATTTTTATGAAAATCAAAAAACTGGAAGTACTCACTCTGGAAGTGAGATGGCTGACTGGATTCTATTATGCTTGACAAGTCTTTGACATTTGTTCAAATATGCATCCAAATTGTTCAACAACAATATAATAAGCTTTTATTGTGCTTTATAAGTATCCCATCCATGTCCAACAAGTGTCGTAGTGCTTGATTAGTGTTTGGACTTTAGTTTTATTGGTTATTCACAAACTCTGACATCTTTAACCTATGAGGCTACCAAATGACTAAGTGATTCTTTGACATTTTTGCTCTCGTTGCTGCCTAATATTATGGTGACTGGTGACAAGTTGATTGTATGGGTGGTGAATTCTAGCATATGAACTGCAACTAGCTTTTTTGTTTTCATATTCCAGCCCTTGAGCATCTTAAAAGAAAGTGACTTGACTAGTTATTTAATTTTCTCCATGTACAATTTTACTTGAATAGGATCTGTTTTATGGGTTTTACACTGTTTCCTGAGTTGTAAAGTCTTTAATCTTCTACATAAGCTTCTTCTTCACTTGTCTCTTGGTAACCCTCTTCTTGCTATTGATTTGTGATAACATGCATGACCTTTATAGCCTGAAGTCTGAAATCAAATTTTGAGGTGGCATAAATACATTAAAGATTTTGTGTTTGTGTCGGGCTTTTCACCTTTTCCTTTCTTTCAGTGGAATTGTATGCAAGCTTGTTTTATGGTTTATGTAGTATTAATTATAAATTAATGTATTTTTTGCTTTGGTTTTAGGGGCTACAAGCGCTTCTTCAGAAGGACTTCACTTGAAACATCGGTTTTCCTGAAGGATGATTGCTTGAAAATAAATTGCACTGTTGGTGTTGTTGTGTCTGGAATAGACAGCTCAAGACTACACTCCATTCATGTCCCTGAATCTGATATTGGAGATCATTTTGGCACATTGCTGGAAAATGAGGAGGGTTCAGATGTCACCTTCATTGTCTCTGGGGAAAAGTTTTGTGCTCACAAGCTAGTATTGGCTGCTCGTTCTCCTGTTTTCGAGAATGATTTTGTCAACATGATGGAAGAGGATAATGATGAAATTCTTATAACAGAAATGGAACCTAGGGTTTTTAAGGTGGAGTCTCTAAAGAACTAGTACTTTGTAACTTCCAATATTTAATCTGTTTAACTTGTAGTACGTCCAATTTGCTTCCCACCTGCTGACAGTTTCTTGCATTTCGTCTAAGCAGGCTTTGCTGCATTTCATTTATAGGGATACTCTCCCAGAAGATGATGAATTCTTGGAAGCAAGCTCATCTTCAGTTCCGTCCCTATCTGATTCATTGCCTGCAAAATTGTTGGCTGCTGCTGATAAATATGATTTGCCGAGACTCAGATTGATGTGTGAATCTGTACTCTGCAAGGACATATCCGTGAACTCTGTATCCCATATTCTGGCCCTTGCTGACCTCTATCATGCTGCTGATTTGAAGTCTGTTTGCCTAAAATTTACTGCAGAAAACCTAGTCGGTATGTTTTTTTAGTTGTTTTTCATTGTAGAATTACCATTCTATGGATAGCAATTTCAGCAGCTATTCATATTCCATATCACGGAGTAGAATTATAACATTGTTCTTTCCGGTAACCTTCCTTACATTTGACATGCCTAATATACATATGTTCAGGTGATCTGGTTGAAATTTGTGTATGTCAGCATTTGTCTCTATGAACTAGTCTGCTGAATATTTGTCTTTTAGGTGACATGGGCGACATTTTACGTCTCTAATTCCAGGATTGTGCCAGTGTGCTCAGCTGTTTTATCTTTGTCACATCTTACAATCAGTTGAAGACACTTGTGATTGTTGGTGTGCATCTTCTTGAATAAAATACTACAGATGGTTGCTTGATGAATGAAACCACAGTTTTTTTTTTGTTTGTGTTTTTCTACTTTCTAGAACTCGTTAATAATATAGGATTTGAACTGATGATTGGATTTTAGAATGCAGTGTTGTCCGCCTAAATTTTTGCCTTTTATGTAAGGAAATCACAGGTTACTGCTGGATTTTTGCTTCATAATTAGACTAAGAATCTCAAGAAATTAGGATCTTTGTTCTTTTTCCATGCTAAGACTTAGATTTGTGGATAAACTATTTTCCAAAAGCAAGTATTATAGGCTCCCAGTCCATTATACATACTCCCGGAGGAAGAATTGCAAACATAATCTAGGGTAGTCACATGGCTGTCATATAATTAGAGACTTTATGTAGATAGGGCCATCAGGCTGGTGCGCTATGTGTGGTCTGGGATGCTTACTATGTAATTCTGTTAGACTGTTATCATAATTAGGGAACATCCAAAGACATGGCAGTTTTTGGCAAAGGCGGGTGCGCTATGTGTGGTCGGGGAGAGTTCTTGGGCTTCTCAAACGCGGGATAGGGCTGTAATCTGTTCTTCTTTCAGTTAAGATAGTGGATACCATTATGGCTGTGCTCTTTTCATACTACATGCCCATGATATGCATTGTTTGGAGATATCTTTTTTTCTTTCTTGGATGTCTACAAAGTCTCTTTTTCCATTTCTCATTGTCCAAAGGTTTGATGCAGCCGTAATGCAATCTGATGGGTTTGAGTTTCTCAAAGAAAACTGCCCGCTGCTGCAGTCAGAGCTTTTGAAGACTGTTGCCGGGTGCGAGGATGAGGAGCTTAGCGGAGGAGGAAAGAGTCGAAGCGTGTGGGCGCAATTCTCCGACGGCGGGGATACAAACGACAGGAGCATGAGGCAACAGACATGGGAAAACGGAGAAAGGAGTCGAAGCCTGTGGGTGCAGCATTCTGACGGTGGCGACGCCTGCATCCGGAGTCCAAGGCGAGAAGGCTAACGCATAATTGGTAACTTACTATCGTGGTCTGTATAATAACATTTTATGAAATGATCTCCAGAACTACCGAGTAAAAGAGAATATGTGTAGCCATAGAGAATGTAAAGGGAAATCATCATTGCTCTTGTTACCTGTTGTATGTTGAATCAGAAGATTGGCATTTGTGCTTTTGACTAAATTGGTTTAGCAAGATGTCATAATCTTTGTAATGGAATGTTTGCCTTGACTGAATAAAGCTTTCTTATTCAGGACAAAATTCTTGTTGTTGTGAAATCTACACTTTTTTTGTTTTATTGTCATGTTGTGAAGTTGTAGATCTGACGTTTACGCTATGACGTTGTGAGAACGATGTTAAAAACAATTTTTTTTTTTAAGGCTTTTTCGAGAAACTTTAGTTTAAATGTGTCGATTCATAAAATGCATGGCAATATTTCGCATGAAGATATTGTTGTTGATGATATGGCGACAAGTAAAGACAGTGTGCAAGTATATGTTGCTTCTTGTCTACGAGAGAAAATGTTAAGTGAAAAAGAGGGTGAGAAAGAAATATTGAAAGAAACGTTATTGGCCACTAACCACTCGCTCTTTGGCTGCTCGGGCTCCATGTTTTAAGTTCGTTATTTGAACAATCTCATCTCATCTGCTCCACTAGGAACCTTTTCTCTTCTTTAATCTTATTTACAGCGTTGCTCTTGAACTCTGTATAGATCAAGCTGCTTGTTGTAATGGCTTGGGTGACTCGCACCTTGGATGATGGGGCTTAGCTAACCATAGCCAATTCTTCGTTGTACCAAAAGAGAGATTTGATTTAAATGATGAGGTACAAAATAACGAGAGCACTTAAACTAAATGTATTTACTTTTTCTGTTGAATTATTGCAAGAGATAAAAATGCTCATTGAGAAGCAGGATTCAATGATTGATTCAAATAAAAGCCAATGTTGAACTCGGTGGGAAATAAAAGATCAATGGCCTATACACGAAGCGACGCCCCTTTTTCACTTCTACATCCATCCATGACCTAAAGACAAAAGTGAGGAGCTCGAGAAGATCAAGACTACGATATACAAATAATTTCAAGTTCGCATTACAAAGAAATCGTTTAGATTCAAGAACGAATTCTCTTGAAGAGAGGAAGAACGATACAAACTAAGGCGTCTTAATATGCCACAAGAACTTCAAGGTGGATGACGACTACATATTGTTCTAAGATGACAACAAAACATAATTGCATTTGACGAATTCAATTGCAATTCATGTTCATTAAAGACAAGTCAAGTTTTTTTTTGTGGAATCACTATCCCAAGCCCACTGCTAGCCGATATTGTCCGTTTTTGCCCACTACGTATAGCCATCAGCCTCACGGTTTTTAAAATGCATTTGTTAGGGAGAATTTTTCACATATTTATAAAGAATGATTCGTTATCCTCTCCAACCGATATAGGATCTCATATAAAGCATACTGCAACAATCTGTCACAATAGGATACATTAATCAAGTTGATGTTTCAAATCATTTTGAACTTAAACGAACACTATTTTTCCAAAACAAAATCGAACAATTCCAATAAGAAAAGTAAAACAAAAACATCAAAAGTAAACAAATAAATTATGCATAAGAACCAATGTCTTGTGAACTTGAACGTTCCTTAGTGAATACGTATCGAATTTACCGAATAAATAGGAAGATCAAACCCTACAACTATTTATCTCATTGGTGAATCGAGATAACGCACATGAGATGCAACTCATGTTTTTGGAGCCGTTCAACTTGTTCTCTATATCAATAGTTATAATCTCCGATTTTACCGTAAAACGTGTTATATATTTTTCTAAAAGTTTTAAAAGTAATAGATTCACTCACTTATATATTCTCCCTTTTCATCAATGATTATGTTTCAAACACAATTTAATTATTGTTTTATCCAATCCATTAATCACAAATCTCAATAAGCCAAATAATATTTTTCTATTAAAATTATTATTATTATTATTTAATCCGTTTTGATAAATAAAAAAACACCTCTAAAATATAATAGTTATAGTCTACCACCAGTAAATATTGTCTATTTTGGTCCGCAATTTATCGTCATTAATAAAGAATGTTTCATTCGATCTTACAGTTCACCCCCTTGAAATTCTACCGTCCTCGCTAGCACACTGATCAGTGTCTAGTTTTGATACCATTTGTAACTGTTTAAAATGGAACGAAACATTATTTATAAATTAAATTAAATTATTTAGTTGTACAAAATAATTTATAATATTATTTAGATAATAATTTGAAGCTGAATAAAAAAATAAAATAGAAAAGATAAGGTGTAATTTTCAAGGGAGGTATGCATAATTTGAGATTCCCAAAGCATAAAGTCCCTATTTTTTTTATAAATTATTTTTCATATAATCATAACTCATAAAGTGTTATATTTAATGGTTTTGATTTACCATTGGACCAAATTTCCCACTACTTTTTCTACCTAAAATATTACCCATTGGTTCGTGTATCTCATTTCAACCAAACTATAATCAGATTCAATAATCTCGAACTATCTGCTCTTGACTTAACTTAGCATTTGAGGGTGGTAAAGATCGATATTCGAAGCTTCGACCCTAAGAAAAAGTATATCTTTTAGCAATTGAGTTATACTCATGTTGGTTCATAAAATTAACGAGTTTTGAAAGTTTTTTACTGTTAAAATTCATAGACGAATTCGATTGAATATATGGTAAAAAATGCAGAGCTTATGTAAGTTCGAGGTTAAAAATTTGAATTATGTTCGATATTTTTTAATATATTTAATTTTTAAGTTGTTTTTTTTTCTATAAAAAAAAATTATATTTTAAGAAAAACATCTCCTTAATCTCGGGAATGGGTCCCATGTTCTTTTTCTCTCTCTCAAATTATTATTATTATTATTATTTTTTGTAATTTAGTCGAGAGGGACTAGAAGCTAGATGATGCCATGTGGACTCCACAACATCCACATCTTTTAATCACAGCCGTTCATCTTGATTACATCTTCCAATCAGATGGTAGACTGGTGCCTGGGTCCCACCAATAATTAAATTTTATCTGTATATGCATGGGCAATTAAAAAAAAAAAAATAGAAAAAGGGCAGAAAATCTTTAGAAAATAATTAAATATATTCCATATTAAATTTATTATCAAAATATCTAAAGAAAACATAATAGAAGGATGATAACTTATGGTTAAACGGATCACGACTCCACAATGATATGATATTGTCCATTTTGAGTATAAACTCTCATGATTTTGCTTTGGACTCCCCAAAAAGTCTCCTCTGTATGGAGAGAGTATTCGTTTATTATAAACCTATGATCATTCTCTAAATTAGTAGATGTGGGACTTTTATCAACAGAGTTGAGTTCATTATTTGATACGAGTTCAACGTGTAAAAATATTCCATAACTTATTCTAGTAAACTTATAAATCCGCTAATATAAATTAAATATTTTTTGAAATTAAATAATTTGATAGATAAAAAAATTTAAAAATTAAAATTTATCCATAGGGATAATTTAATGGGAAATTTCATTTTCTCAACCAAATAAAGAAAAAAAAGAAAAAGAAAAAGGCTGACACACCGACCCGCCATCCTTGGAAGGCGGCAAGTTGGATTCCCGTTCCACATTGTTGACAATCTCTGCCCCATCTACCCGCGGGCAGCAGATCAACCAATGGGCCGTCAGCATCCGAGTGGGGGCCTCCTCCACACGCAACATTAATTTTTCATGATTCAAATTCAGTACAATTGAATCGATTTCCTTGAATCCGCAGCCACCACACAAGGAAAGGGTCACCCTTCTTCTTATATTCTCAAATTTTGTTCAATCTGGGAGACCAACACAGAAATAGAGAAGAGGAGGGGTGTTTTTTTCTATCGGAATCTGCCCGCTCCCCGCTTTAATCCAAGAAAAACCAGTGGGAATTTCTTCTGGGGTTTCTTTTTTCCCAATTTGGGAATGCGGGTAGGTTTGGGTTTAGCTTATTTCAACAAATATGTATTGAGTTATTGGCTCTAGCGCCCACACTTCGTGGATAATTATTGTAATCTTAAGCTTGGGTTGAAAAACAGCAACGAAAAAAGAGAAGAAAAACGGATTTTCTGGATGGGTTTCTTGGGTGATTCTATAGAGGAAAGTGGAAGGGGTGGAAGGAGTTCAAGGGTTGGTTTCAAAGCATTGATAAGGAGGAAACAGGTTGATTCTGCCCATTCTTCATCCTCATCAGGGCATCATCAGTTAGCCAGAGAGTTATCTATTCCTCATCTTATTTCAATTGGTACCCATGTTGTTCTTTGTTCTTGTTTTTTGTTCTTTTAATTTTGTTTTGATTTTGGTAGCCATGTCCTCTAACTCCTAGAAACCTTTATTCTGTCTGTGTTTGATGTTGCTCTTGTTGGTATTAGTTCTTGGGATTAAGTTTTTATACTGTTAGTTGTCTCTCTGAAGTTGATGGTGAAGATTGTTTGGTTTTTCCTACTATTTGCCACTCCCCAAAATCTGATGAATATTGATCTTCTGGTAGTTCAGCTGTTCTTGTGCGGATCTCAAGTATATGGGCCTCTTAGCCCGTCTGATATGACCCACGATCGAAATATATCGAAACAAATAAAGGAAAAAAAAGAATTTGAGGGAAGAAAGCTTCTGAACAGAGGAACTTTAAGCACTTAGCTTTTTAATTCTCTTGTTGTTGTGAAAAGAGCATACATCTCTTGTGTATTTACTGTGGAGAAAGCATGACTAGTTTTCCTAAACTTTCTCTTGGAGTTAAAATCGCTAACAATTCTCCTAGATAAATCGTTAACTATTTCCTAAACTTATTCGAGTTAATAACTATTTTTACCGAGTCAAGTTTAATGACTCATAATTTCTGTGTAGGGGTTGGTGCTACTATTGGAGCTGGAGTGTATATTCTTGTTGGAACTGTTGCCAGAGAGCATTCAGGACCAACCCTTGCCATCTCCTTCCTTATTGCTGGAATAGCTGCAGCTCTTTCCGCATTTTGCTATGCGGAGCTTGCAAGTCGTTGCCCGTCTGCTGGAAGTGCGTATCACTATTCATACATATGTGTTGGAGAAGGGTAATTTCATGTGACTTTACTTTGCAGATTATGATTGTTAATGTTAAGTCATTTTTCTGGATTGTGAGTCGAGTGCTTGATTGAGGTTTCGAAGCAGAGAAGTATGTCGTATCACAGTGGAAATGGCTATCAATTTGTTTGTCATTTTTTTTTGGGGACCTGGATGTGTATATTGTATGATGAACTTTCTTGAAACTGATGGGAAATCGCTGATTTTGAATTTCATTGCCCCATCCAGAAAACTTGTTTGCAACTAGACCGATAACTATCGATGTAGTTTAGGATTTTTTTTTATTATACGACTATGTAGTTAATCTTCACATCACGTTTCACCTACCTGTTAGTGATTTTCCATTGCTATTGCTTTTCAGTGTTGCTTGGTTGATTGGTTGGGCTTTGATACTGGAATATACGCTTGGTGGCTCGACTGTTGCACGTGGAATATCTCCAAATTTGGTATTGTCGCCTTCTAACTTTTCACTTGAATTCAATAATAAAATTGAAACAAACTCTTTTTTGTGTCAAGTCATGTGAGATCCCACGTCGTTGGAGAGGGGAACAGAACATTCCTTATAAAGGTGTGGAAGTCTCTCCCCAGTAGATGCGTTTTAAAACTGTGAGACTGTTACATGACGGGCCAAAGCGAACAATAATTGTTAGTGGTGGGTTTGGGCTGTTACAAATGGTATAAGAGCCAGACACCGGACGGTGTGCCAGAGAAGACGTTGGGCCCCAAGGGGGGTGGATTGTGATATCCCACATCGGTTGGAGAGGGGAATGAAGCATTTCTTATAGGGTGTGGAAACCTCTCCCGAGTAGACGCGTTTTAAAACCTTGAGACTGTCACGTAACGTACCGAAGCGAACAATATTTACTAGTAGTGGTTTTGGACTTGGACTGTTACTAGTCATGTTATAGTGCCATGATTTAGAGACAACTTTGAAACTCTGACCCCTTGGTAGTTCTCACTTTATCTGTTTTATCCTTTCACTCCGACAGGCCATGTTGTTTGGTGGAAATGATCATTTGCCTTCCTTTCTAGCTCGGCAAACACTACCTGGACTCAATATTGTTGTTGATCCATGTGCAGCTATCTTAGTTTTGATTGTCACTGCACTTTTATGTATGGGAATCAAGGAGGTATACTAGTGTTTTTTTTCAGAATAATTTCTATCTCATGTATGATAAATAGATATTGTTGTTATTAATTTGTTAATTGTCTTACAGAGTATTGCGGCACAAGCTGTTGTGACAGGTGTAAATATATGTGCATTGATGTTTGTCATTGTTGCTGGCTCGTATATCGGTTTCAAGACGGGATGGGTTGGATATGAACTTCCTACAGGGTACTTCAAATTTTTTACTCTGTACTTTGTTCCTCTATAATTTAGTGTCATCTATGATGTGTATTTATGAATGTCAACTCTGCAACATAACAGGTATTTTCCCTATGGAGTTGATGGGATGCTTGCCGGGTCTGCTACCGTCTTCTTCGCCTATATTGGTTTTGATTCCGTGGCGAGTACTGCTGAAGAGGTAAGCATATTGTGCCAGCATCTGTTATCTCAGGAACTTCTTGAAAAGTAAATTAGAGATCTCCTAATGAAGACCATGTTCTTCCCTGTTCTTTCTTCTTAATTTACTTCTTTAATCCATACAAAAATAACAAATCAATTTGATGAATCTAAATCATTTGTAATTGACACATGGGTAAGATTTATGTGAGATCCCACATCGGTTGGGAAGGAGAACGAAGCATTCTTTATTAGTTGTGGCCTCTCCCTAGCAGACACGTTTTAAAAACCTTGAGGGTAAGCCCGAAAGGGAAAGTCCAAAGAAGACAATATCTGCTAGCGGAAGGCTTGGACTATTACAAATGGTATCAGAGCAAGACACCGAGCGATGTGCCAGCAAGGAGGCTGAACCCCGAAGGAGGTGGACACGAGGCGGTGTGCCAGCAAGGAGGCTGAACCCCGAAGGAGGTGGACACGAGGCGGTGTGCCAGCAAGGAGGATGGGTCCCAAAGGGGGGTGGATTGAGGGGTCCCACATCGATTGGAGAAGGGAACGAGTGCCAACGAGGACGCTAGGCCCTGAAGGGGGGTGGATTGTGAGATCCCACATTAGTTGGGGAAGAGAACGAAACATTTTTTATAAGGGTGTGGAAACCTCTCCCTAGAATACGTGTTTTAAGAACCTTGAGGGTAAGCCCTAAAGAGAAAGCCCAAAGAAGACAATATCTGCTAGCGGTGGGCTTGGGTTGTTACAATTTATGTTCCTTTTCTATTCAATCAACTAATTTCATTTAAGCATACATGAATGTTTATCAACAAATATGCAACAAAGATACTAATTTGTGGCAGCATTGACTTACTATGATTATTTTCAATAGGTGAAAAATCCTCAACGAGATTTGCCACTGGGGATCGCATCTTCATTATCGCTATGCTGTGCCCTGTATATGATGGTCTCGATCGTCATTGTTGGTCTCGTGCCTTATTATGAGATGGATCCTGATACCCCCATTTCCTCTGCATTCTCTCAGCATGGAATGCATTGGGCAGCGTAAGTGTGTACTCGTACGCTTTCATTTTCGAGTTATAGGGGGCGTACCACAAGTTGTGTTGTCCGTAGTTTCCGGGGTAAATTGGGTAGATTGTCTCAGCTGATGATGTTATCTTTATGCTTCCAGGTATGTGGTGAGTGCTGGAGCTGTTACTGCACTCTGCTCAACATTGCTGGGTTCTATTCTCCCTCAGGTACCTATATGAGCTCTTTGAGGTGTCTCTTAACCAGCTCAAAGTTACTTGCTTGCAGTTTTGTTCTATCACCAAATAATCTTGATTGTTCGTGTAGATTACATTTTACGCTTTGCGTCGATGATACAAGGAATAAGACCCCTTGGATGTTATGAATGTTGGAACTCTTATTTGCCTTTCAATTTCTTGGCTCATTGCTCATTGTAGAATATGTATTTTTGTTTATTAATTAGCTTAGATGTTGCGTTGCTTTTTTGGTATATATGAATCCTAATCAAGAAAAAACGTTCTTCTTCTCTCTCTTTCTTTGTGAGATCCCACATCGGTTTGGGAGGAGAACAAAACATTCTTTATAAGGGTGTGGAAACCTCTCCCTAGTAGACGCGTTTTAAAAACCTTGAGGGAAAGCCCAAAGAAGACATTATTTGCTAGCGGTGGGCTTGGGCTGTTACAAATGATATCAGAGCCAGACACTGAGCGATATGCCAGCGAAGAGGCTAAGCTCCGGAGGAGGGTGGACACGAGGCAGTGTGCTAGCAAGGATGCTAGGCTCCGAAGGGAGGTGGATTGTGGGATTCCACATCGATTGGAGAAGGGAATGAGTGCCAGTGAGGATGCTGGGCCCTAAAGGGGGTGGATTGTGGGATTCCACATTGGTTGGGGAGGAGAACGAAGCATTCTTTATAAGAGTGTGGAAACCTCTTCCTAGCATCTTCCTAGCAGACACATTAAAAACCTTGAGGGAAAACCCGAAAGAGGATAATATTTGCTAGGCTTGAGCTCGAGCTTGGGCTTGGGCGGTTACATTTTCTTTCTAACATTTTGCATCTTCTTATACATGAATTCTGTTCTTGACAAGTCTTCTTGGCTTTCCAGCCCCGAATCTTGATGGCAATGGCGAGAGATGGGTTGCTGCCATCTTTCTTCTCGGATGTTAATAAACATACTCAAGTTCCTGTCAAGAGCACCATAGCAAGTGGTGTTGGTGCTGCAAGCCTGGCCTTTTTCATGGATGTTTCAGAGTTAGCAGGAATGGTAAGTTGACTCTATCTAGTTTTTCTCTAGTTTTATAGAATTGATGTTAAAGGTGAAAACGTTCGGTCAAGATGTTCGTAGCCAAAAGAAACCTTCCAATTCAATCTGAGATTTTTTGCTATCTTAAGTCGTCTCACCAAGTTCGACAATGTTCCAATTCGCCGCATCTATCTTTTCCTATTAGCATTGTATATTACGTTTATACCTTGTTGTGTATGCTCGTGAGTAATGTACATTTTGATGTTCTTATTCTCATAAACGTCTTTATTTCATAGAGTTTAGTTATTAAGACGATGAACATGTGATACACAATTGAATTTGACATCTTGATTGGATTGTGAGATTCCACATCGGTTGGAGAGGCGAATGAAACATTCTCTATAAGGATGTGGAAACCTCTCCCTAGCAGACATGTTTTAAAAACCTTGAGGGGAAACCCAAAAAGAAAAGCCTAAAGAGGACAATATCTGCTAGCAGTGGAGCTATCAATTCTTTTTCGTATTGTTTTGATTATGTGGGAGAATTGGTTGAACATGTTTTTCTCTTTGTACAGGTGAGTGTTGGTACCCTTCTTGCATTTACCACAGTGGCTGTATCAGTGTTGATTCTCAGATACATTCCACCCAATGAGGTGCCATTGCCACCATCTCTTCAGGACTCGGTCGACCCACTGTCCCTATCGTACCGTAGGAGTGCCGATGATGTTGATGAAAAAGACCCCGAGATCAGTTCTGCTAAGGACAGTTCTAGACCCTTGCTCGAGAAAGCGGATTCATCAGTTGACATCCCCATGATTGGGAGCTATCTAGCTCGACGTGGCTGTAAGTTTCATAGTCACTCTTACGCATTTTGCTTGTTACAATGAGGTTGATCCACTGTGTTCTTGTGTTTAATTGCTGCAGACGTTCTAAACGAGAAGAATCGACGAAAAGTTGCGGGGTGGATCATCTTGTTAACATGTATAGGGGCTCTACTTCTTACATATGCAGCTACAAACTTGAGGCTTCCAAGGTTCGTTGTTATTACGACTTCTATTTTCTTCGAGTAAGGCGTAGAGATTACTGTTTGTTAACATCTGCAAATGTCTGCTGAATGATTTTGAAACCTATGGAGAAAAGAAGAGCAATGATCCAAATAAGAATAGTAACAACTCAAGCCCATGACAGACATTATCTGTTAGTGATGAGCTTGGACTGTTATAAATAGTATTAGAACCAGACACTGGGCGATGCGCCAGTGAAGGGCTGAGCTCTGAAGGGGGTGGGTGGACATGAAGCGGTATGCCAGCAAAAACGCTGGGCCCCAAAGGGGGTGGATTGGGGAGTCCCACATCGATTGGAGAAGGGAGTGAGTGCTAGCGAGGACGCTGGGTCCTGAAGGGGGTGGATTGAGAGATCCCAAATCGGTTGAGGAGGAAAACGAAGCATTGTTTATAAGGGTGTGGAAACCTCTTCCTAGCAAACACATATTAAAAAGCTTGAGTGGTAGCCCGAAAGGGAAAGCCCAAAGAGGATAATATCTGCTAGCGGTGGGCTTGGGCAGCTTCTAAGATTCACGTTCTTGACATGTTTTTTAGTGGTGGAACTCGTATAATTACGTTAAAACGTTTCTGTTCGTCTTTTAATTGTTTTTGCTCGATGTGTTCGATGTTTCCACCAGCTATGTTCGATACTCAGTTAGCGGAATCGGTATATTGCTTCTGTTATCTGCTTTGGTCGTGCTCTCGTGTATCGACCAAGATGATGCAAGGCACAGCTTTGGGCACTCAGGAGGTGAGACATTACTCTTTCTCTCTCGCTCGCTCGACTCCCGTTTTTGTATTTGCCATTTACTTATTCTTGGCGCTCAAATATCTCGATAACCGATTTAGGATCGAACTACCTATCCTTAAATATAATTGTAGAGACTGCTAACCGAACTCGCCCTCTACCAGGTTAATTAGTTTTTAGTTTCTAGCATCATTGATTCCAAGGAAAGATAGAACAACCCCTGCATATTCTTGTGTTCGAGTCCTACGATAACGAACTTACGCTTGCCTTGTACTGATTTTCGAGTCATATCGTTTCGAGATTCGAGTCTAGAGATGAACAGTGTATATTCTTGGTTAATGTATGAAAACACTGATCCATTGCATTTTCTCCTATTGTCTTCTCAGGTTTCACCTGTCCATTTGTTCCTCTGATACCAATCGTGTGTATTGTCATCAACACCTATTTGCTCATCAATCTCAGGCAACGACCCTTTCATCTTTGCTTGTTCGTTTACATTAATTCGTAGTGTTACTTTCCTTTCTCGATATCGAATCGTAGATATAACTTAACATTCACCCGAATGCTCTCATGTTCATTTCTCTTACCCCAAAATAATGATCCCTTTCTCGTATCCTTTCAGTGCTGGTACATGGGCTCGTGTGTCAATATGGCTACTTATTGGAGTGATCGTTTACGCAGTCTACGGTCGAACCCACAGCTCTCTACGAGATGTAATCTATGTGCCAGCCGCCCGTGCCGAGAAGAGAAACAAGTACTCGAGGGAGGTGGTAGCATGAATCAGTTGGTACAAAGAGTAGAAGGCAAAAACTTTGGTACATTGCTTAGGACTATATTTTTATCCATGGAGATTAATCTATCTCCTTGTAATATAGGGTTGGTTATTGAATTTCCTTCAAACCAAATAATGTAAATATAAAGCACATTTCAATTTTATTTGTCGGTTATTATTCAGTTATCGAGATTTCGGTTTATTTAGTCCTCGAGATTTCAAAAGGAATACCTTATTTTACGAGGTTTAAAAATTAAGTTGACCATCATTGACCAATAAAAAAATCGATGATATTAATGAGGTAGATAATATATGAATTTTTTTAATAGATGTGACCTTTTAAGAACGTCATTAGAGATGTCCACTGGGAAGGGATGGGAAGCCTTATGAGCCTTCCCGTCTTCGCTACCTATTTCATTTCACATTTATTTTTTTTACAGAAATTAGAGAGAATATTAAAAAAAAAAAAAAAAAAAATTGATGGAGGAATTTTTAGAAATAAATGTTTGAAAAAAAAAATCAAATTGAGTTTATTATTAAATTGAAAATAATTTAAAAAATATTGAAAAAATTTGTTTTCACATGTTTTTTTTAATAAAAAAAATTAAAAATTAGAAAATTTGTAAAATAGTATTTATTGATTTAATAAGAAAAATTGTAAAATAGTATTTATTGAAAAAGTTTATTTATGGAAATAAATTAATTTAAGAATATTATACTCAAAAAAATATATTGGTAGGTAATAATGAATCTTCCTTTTCTAAAAGTATTAAATAAATATTTGTTTTATTAATTTCAGTTTGAAAAATACTCGTAAAATTAAAATATCTGTAGATAATTGATGAGGTGTCGATGGACGGTATTGGTTCGGTAAAAGTTCTTTATATAAGTAAAACCATACTTTTAATATTTTATGGGTATTTTTTAAATATAATAGTAATGATCAATTATTTTTAAAAAGAGTATTAATCGAACTTTTAAATTTAAATATATTTCGAAGAATATATATATAAGAGAAGAGGTGGAAATTCTATAAAGGCATACAAGAATAAAAACAAATTAACAATGGTCTCAATGAGTTCTAAAAGTTTTAGAGCTTGTGTTCTTATTCTCTTAGCGTTTCATTTTACTATCCTCATAATACATGCTACAAGAATTGGTGTGTTCGACGGAGATCTGAAGCTTACGGGCTTCGAGAAAGGATCGTAGGTCAACTTTGGGATGCGAGTACCTATTCCTCCCTCTCAGCGAAATCCCACGACAATGTTCCCAATTCCGCTGCTACCACCCTCGTTCACCCTTTCAAAAAATGAATCAAAGCTCGAGTTTGAAAGTACCTTTTCCTCCATCATCGAATTTCCCATCTCCTCCCTTTCCACCTTCAAATCACTCAATCGAAGCTTAACTATGGAGTTAAAGGAGTAACTATTCCTCCTTCAGGCCCGAATCCGACCACATCAGACCCTCCTCCATCACCTCCTTCTGGATCGAGTAAAAGAGCATCGAATTCACGTACTCCTCCTTTACCCTCTTCGTTCACTATTATAATATAAGTGTAAAGGTATAAATACTCTATATATTTAAATATAATTATTATACTTGGAAAATTTTATTGGAATACTTACTAATATATTTGAGATAATTAGGAAATATTAGAAAAATTATAATTTAAATTATTAAAATAAGGATGATTTCTTAAATTTTTTAAAATAATTAAAAAAAATTATCTTTATTCTATTAATAAATAATTCAGATAATTAAGGAATATTTAATACCAATTTTTTTCAACAATACTTTGAACCTTATATGGTTTAAATTTTAAACTCATTTCTTTATAAAATATATTTTAAAATTTTAAAAATTCATTTTTTTATAAGATATATTTTAAAATTTTAGGAGTATTTTTTAAATATAATAATATTTTTTAATTTTTTAACGAAAATATTGATTGAAAATGAACATTAGAATTAAAAAAAAAAAATGCTATATAAAAGAAAGCCATGGAAGAACGAAGAAACAGCAACAATGGTGAGAATGAGTTCTAAAACACTCTCGAAAGCTTGTGTTCTTATTCTCTTACTGTTTCATTTTATTGCTCTCATGATACACGCTACAAGAACTGGTGTGTCTCGAAGGAGATTTGAAACTGGTTGGTTCTAAGAAAGGATCGTAGGTCAACTTCGAGATACGAGTACCTATTTCTCCGTCTCAGTGAAATCCCACAACAACGTTCTCAATTCCACCGCTACCACCCTCATCCACTATTTCAAAAAATGAATCAAAGCCCAACTTTGGAATGTATCCGAAAGTACCTATTCCACTATCTTGGCCGAGTCCAAGGACACCGGATTCCCCATCTCCTCCTCCTCCACCACCTTCATTCTAGTAGCGACGAACACAATGTTTTTTTAAATAACGGAACGTTAGATATATACTCTTAAAGAACTTTCGTCCTTGAAAGTTTCGAACTCTTATACTAATTCGGGGTATTTTTCTCTTATTTCATTCTCACGCTCCCATGTGACTTTCTCAATGTGATGGTTTCGCCACAACACCTTAATGAACCCATGAGATGAAAACATGAGTTCCTCGTTATGAATCGAATGATATATACATATATGTATGTAGATACATTTATATCTATTTCTACATACTCACAGTCGCTACTAACGTCTTATGGTCATCTCTTATGTGTAAATATAACTCTTAAAAGAAAATATCATCTATAGTATAAATGACTTAGACTAACCTATATTCTATTAAATGCAATTACACACCAACCTATACTAAACTATGGTATTAAATGCAATTCAATCTATACTAACCTATACTATTAAATGCAAATATAATTCAACATGTACCAACCTATACTATCAAATTTAAATACAATTCAACCTATACTAATCTATACTATTAAATTTGAAATGCAAATCTATCCTATGAATGTGCCATGATCCCGGAGTTTTGCGATACCTCCGTCAACTTTACAGGAGCGCCTTGTCTTTATCTGAAAAATGTAGTAGCATGAGACTTGAGTATTTTGAGAATACTCAGTAAGTGACCCCCTATCGGAGTTATGCAACAAGAACATGCGAATGCAATGACGAGACCTATCATATCGGTTTATTTTCCTACGGTACTATCCTAACGGGCCAGCATGGACTCACCAGTCGGTTCGCACTACCTCAGAAGGGATTGCAGCTCAATTTCGAGATGTACCTAAAACGAGTACCTAATCCTCTGTCTGAGCGAAATTCCAGCTCATCGTACTCACATCCGCCGCCACCACCCTCGTCTACCATTTTAGAAAATGAATAAAAAATCAACTTTGAGATGTATCCAAAAGGAGTAACTATTCCTCCATTTGGGCTGAATCCCTCCGAGAAGGGATTGCAGCTCAACTTCAGGATGCCCTGGAACGAGTACCTATTCCTCCGTTTGAGTGGAATCCTAGATCATTGTACTTGCCTCCGTTGCCACCACCCTCGTCCACTATTTTAGAAAATGAATCAAAATTCAATTTTATGATGTATTCGAAAGAGTACCTATTCCTCAATCTTAGCTGAATCCCTCTAAGAAGGGATCGCAACTCAACTCTAGGATGCTTATGGAACAAAGTACTTGTTCCTCCATCTGAGCGGAATCCTAGGTCATTGTACTCACCTTTGCCGCCACCACCCTCGTCCACCATTTTAAAAAATGAATCAAAACTCAACTTTGGGATGTATCCGAAATGAGTACCTATTCCTACATTTAGGTCAATTCCCACCTACAAAGGGTTGCAGCTCAACTTCGAGATGCACCTGGAACGTGTACATGTTCCTCCGTCTAAGCGAAATCTTAGATCATCGTACTTACCTTCATTGCCACCACCCTCGTCCACCATTTTAGAAAATGAAACAAAACTCAACTTTGGGATTTATCTGAAAGAGTATCTATTCCTCCATCTTGGCCGAATCCCTCCGAGAATGGATCGTAACTCAACTTCGAGATGCATCTAGAACAAGTACTTGTTCCTCCATCTGAGCGGAATTCCAGGTCATCGTACTCACCTCCGTCCCCACCCTCGTCCACCATTTTAGAAAACTAATCGAAACTCAACTTTGGGATGTATTCGAAAGGAGTACCTATTCCTCCATCTAGGCCGAATCCCTTCGAGAAGGGATCGCAACTCAACTTCGAGATGCACCTAGATTGAGTACTTGTTCCTCCGTCTAACCGGAATACCAAATCATTGTACTTGTTTCTCGAGAAGGAATTGCAGCTCAACTCCAGGATATACTTGGAACGAGTACTTGTTTCTTCGTCTAAGCAGAATCCTGGATCATCGTACTCACCTCCACCGTTGTAATGAACCTAAATTTTTACTTATCTAGAGTCGCTACCGTCATCATCATCTATACTCATATGCGAAATTAAACATTTAAAACTTCATTTTAAAACACTTTCTTCATCATTGTACTCACCTCAAGAAAAGAATAATTTATTTATTGATCTATTTATGTTATTCTCATTTTAATTATATTACAACATTTTTTTTGCACTTAAAATATTTTTTAAGACCGGCAAATTATACCAAATATAAAGTAAGCTTAAAAAGAAGTCTAAAAAATATTTATTATACTCTAACTGGAGGTAAACGGTTAATATTTTGAAAATTACTTTTACCATTAATACCACCTTTACAAAATACTTATAAATTTTTAAAAATAATATTAAAAATTTTGGAGATAATATATGAAATGTAATAAATGGATTTTGTATTTATTGACGGTAATAATATTTTGAATTTTTTTTTTATATTAAAGATAAAGGAAGAAATCTACTTTTTAAATTTGATGAATATATTTTAAATATACTTATTTTATTTTAAGAATATTTTTTTTTAACATTATTGTATTTTTTAAATATTATTAAAATTTTAAAGATTTTTTTTTAAAGGAAACTACAACCATTTTCATCCAATAAAGTATGGAATTGAATAAGAAAATAAATCATTGAATTATCCTATTTGCGTTCCATTTTTCTACCCTGAGGGCACACGCTACAAGGACTAATGTGTTGAATGGGGATCTGAAACTCACTGGCTTAGAGGAGGGAACACAGCTCAACTTCGGGATGCACTTCCAACGAGCACCTGGTCCTCCGTCTGGGTTGAATCCTGGGTCATCGTTC